AATTTGGGGGGGGGGGGAATTAATTTGGATGAACTCTAAAAATATTTAAGAATAAAAAATGTTTTGTCTGTAATTATGATAACCAAAATAACTGAGGGAAAAGTTTTAAAGAATTGAATTCCTGCCGCTAGTTGTGTTGTAAAGCACCTTAAAGACCTGCCTACTACCGGGATTAGACACAGTGCTATTTCGGGCTCTTGTCACACGCTGGTCGTCAGATTCATAGCGCTGCTGGGCGGGTCACACTGCTAGGACTCACCGTTCACTCGATCGACGCAAAGAAAGCGCCTTGAAACCGGGTTGATTTAAAAAGTTTCATAGTTCGTCTCGTCAGTGGCGTTTCTGTTTTGACACCTTTGGAAGCTATCGAGTGTAAATACTGTGGCGTTTTCTATTCACGCGACGCTTCTGAAACTTTTGCGTGCGTAACGACATTGGGAGACGAAATGGGGGAGAATGATGTTCAGATGGAGAGTACAGAGCAAATGCAGGAGCCTCAAGCTTCAAGCTCGGACAAAATCGACTTGTCATTAGGTTAGTAATTGCGAGGCGAGACATTAACTTAAAGTCATTGTGATTTGAATGAGTTGGCAGTATCCGTGTTGACGTGTCGAGCAACAGCGGTCAGCTGTCACATACATTCAACAGCTGTTAAACCAACGTGCTCGTGCACACACATCATTTCCCTTGAGTTTAGCATGATAATAAATGACTGAAATGATCTGTGCTTGTGAATGACTAAAATTAAGCAAGTTATAGTAAATGTAAAATAAAACCTTCATCCATCTTTACTGTAGCCACAGTATGGCTAGCAGTCAGTCAGCTATATTAATACAGACCTTCATTATTTGGTCAGCTTTTACGTTTTTTTTTTGTCGATTTATCATGCATATCTGGCGTATTTTGAGAGGGATTTTAAATAGGAAACCCTCCACTCAACAAATAAATATAAAATAAAAGCGAAGGAGCCTTAATATGCTGCATGCTGTAAATTACTACCTATTTTTCCCCTATTTAGCTCAAACAAGTAATATACACAAATATTATCTGATATGTAATTCATACCATTAATCTTCTATTGATTTTCTATTTTAGAGGCCCTTTTAAAGTAAACCAGAGGTGAAACACTTTGTTCATTTTTATTTCACAGATGACATTATAAAGCTGAATAAGAAGAAACTGAAGGCGAGCCGAGCTGGCAACATAGCTAAAACTAAACGTGCTGCTAACAGGAACAACGTCTTGAAGAAACTCAACCAGGTTCCACAGCAGCAGAGGGGACTCAGACGAGGAGCGCAGCAGTACCAAGGCAAGCATTTGATACTTAAAGGGGTCATATGATGCTATTTCAATTTTTCCTTTCTCTTTGGAGTGTTACAAGCTCTTGGTGCATAAAGAAGATCTGTAAAGTTGCAAAGACTAAAGTCTCAAATCCAAAGAGATATTCTTTATAAAAGTTAAGATTCAGCCACGCCTACCTAAAACGGCTCCCACATATCTACATCACTATATGGGAAGATTTGCATAACGCCGCCCAAATATTCACGCAAAGAAAGAAGGCGTAACTTTTATTCTCGCTGTAGTAT